AAAGGGGTGAGCTGTACTGGATGCTGCAACATGTGAATCCGTTTCCCCTACAAGAGGTCCTTCCCATAGCACTTGAGAGTGTTGGCACTGACAGCACCTAGCTTAGTTGCTTTCTGAGAACTGCCCTCAAAGAACTGCAAGGTCACACTCTGATCCAAAGGAAGTCTGCATTCTGTTTGATGTGGGATCTATTTATTTCTGTGTCACCAGCTCTTTGGAGTAGGTCATCAAGACCTGGACTCTTGGCTTCGAGGGGGAACAAATCAGAAGGGTCTTCACAGGACCAGGGTCTTTACACTCCCATGGAATACTCTGAGAACTTTGTGATTCCATTACCTCATAACTTCCCCTTTGCCCAATATTAATTCCTCATTTTTCTCCACACCACCACAGAATTGTTATTAACGTATTCTAGAGGCTGGCTCCCCATTCATACAGGTGTCATCTGTAACCTGGTGCCTGAATTTCATCTTTCCCTTTTTCCTTATAAATGGTTTGTTTGTTTGTTTGTTTATGTCAGTATGTAAACATTCATGCATGTGACAGTCCAAGGAGGACTGAAGGAGACATCTGATTCTTTAGAGCTGGAATTGCAGGTGATTAAAAGCTGCCTGACCTGGATGCTGGGAAATGAACTCAGGTTCTCTGTAAGAACAACAAGCACTCTTAACCATCTACCTTTCCAGATTCCAATTTTCATCTTTCAAAGGTTACACCATTTCATCTTCTCCAAAAGAATTCCTGCACACAAACCTGTGTTTCAGAGAACTCACTGTGAGACAGGTTCTATTTGTTTAAGAAAGGTGTCTCTGTTAAAACAAACAAACCAAAACAATACAGGCTAAAACAGAAACCTACTAAAATCAATCAGGAAGAAAGAAAGAACTAAAAAGCTTTGTTTTCTTAAGTAAAACTTATGTTGCTAATTTACCATTGTAACCATGAGAGTACTATAGAAGCCAAACAAATACTTTTAAAACCATCTCTAAAACTTGACATTAAGAAGTAAATCTAATTTTGTTTCTGAGGATAACAATAGAGATAATCCATATAATAGAAAGATAGCAGGAAATGTAAGAGAAACAGCTTTTCATATAAGATAGGAAGTTACCAATAACTTCCATAACCAACTCAAAATACATGAATGTTAATAGAAATAATTGAAACAAATACCTCACCCAGTGTTTAAATTCATGTTCTTATTAGATAACCTTTTGTCAAAGGATTCAGGGAAACCTATTATTTTGAAAATGGATAAAAGAGATAAGAATGTGTCTTATCTTTCTGAATCCAACACAAGAAATTATTTGGTGAGGGAAATGTTTTTACAAAATGTAAGCAAAGCTACTATGGGGTAAGCTTTTCTTATTTTTATGCTACTATATATTTACTTATTTATTAACAAATGCTGGATATAGGATTTGAGATAGGGACTCACTGTGTAGCTTTAGCTGGCCTGGAACTCATTATGTAGACCAGGCTGGTCTCAAACTGAGAGACCCACCTGCCTTTGCCACTGAGTGCTAAGGTTAAAGGCATGTGCCACCATGCCCCGTTAATTGTAGGATGTTATCAATGGCTGTTAATATCACAAAAAGACAACTATCAGAAGCTGAAACAGTAGAACTCTTGTTTTGAGGTATCATTGTCTGTTTTTCTTTTAAACTTATATTTTATGTGTATAAGTGTTTTGACTGCACCACATGTGTGGTGTCTGGTGCCTTGAGAGACCAGGTGTTGGTTCTCTTGCTGAAACTGGGTATACAGTCAGCTATGAGCTACCATGCTGGTGATGGAAACTGAACCCAGGTCCTCTACAAGAGCAGCCAATGCTCTTAACCACTGAACCGCCTTTATGTATGTGCACTCATATGAGTGCAGGTGTTCTCCAAGGCCAGAAGTATCAGATGACGCAGAGCTAGAGAAACAAGTGGCTCATTTGATGTGGGTGCTGGGAACTGAGTTTGGGTCCTCTGCCAGAGCAGTCCATGCTCATAACCGCCAAGTCACCTCTGCATCCTATTTCGTCTGTTCTGATACTAACTCAGTGCCATTATTTGTTATATATATCTATTCAGACTTTAAGTCTCTCTTAAGAATGTACAACATTCTACAATATTCCACAGCAATCCTCTCTTTTCTGTAAGGTTGGTAGTAATGTCCATTTAGTACCTAATTTTGATATGGGATAATGCTCTTGTTCCCTGTATAGATTTGTTACTCGTTTGGGTTTAATAAAATGCTGATTGGCCAGTAGCCAGGCAGGAAGTACAGGCGGAGCTACCAGACGAGGAGAATTCTGAGAAGAGGAAAGGCAGACAGGCAGTCACCAGCTAGATGCAGAGGAAGCAAGATGAAAATTCAGTAAAGGTACCAAGCCACGTGACTAAACATAGATAAGAATCATGGGTTAATTTAAGTTTTAAGAGCTTGTTAATAATAAGCCTGAACAATAGGCCAAGCCTCTTTGTGTTTATTTGGGACTGAACGGATGTATGATGGGGTGGGACAGAAACTGTCTATATAATTTTAGTTAACAACTTTTTTCTCTTCTACTGACTTGGACATTCATGAATTTTACACATCTTTCCAAAAACACAGCAAATGCAAATTTTTATTTTCCATTTTCTATTCCTTATTCCATAATTCTCTGTTCTACTCATTCTTTGCTACTTTCTGCTTTGGCTCACCCTGTTATTAGATGGTTTTCTTCTTTAATGTCTTTGCACAGTAACTTCCCTCTATGTATTATTCTCACTGCATTCCTTGCTCCAATGTTATTTTTTTCATTCATTTCAGAGGATGTTGCTTTCCCTTTTCCTTGATCCACTGGCTATTTTTGGTGTTAAGTTTCACTTATTCAACTCCCCAACTTAATTTCATGTCACAAACTACAGACTAAATTTTGCATTAACTCAAACTATTCCGTGTACAGTTGAAAAGACAAGTACTCTATTATTACTGTCTCATGCATTTATTAGATCTAGTTGAGTTACGCGCTGTTCAATTTCCTACTACTTTATATTCTGCCCAGTTTTGTTTTTGACATGGAGCCTTGCTGTGCTGTTCAGTAACTGATGGTGCTGCTGGCCATTGGCAGCCCAGCACTTGAACATTCAACTATGACTTTCCCATCGTGTTGATTTTAGTCCATTAGTTTGGAGCTCTGTGGTCTGATGTGCTCATTACAAGCAACCCTTTAGTTTCTAGTAATGATTTAAGCCTGTTTTGTCATGATTGGCATGGCCACTTGCAACTTGTTTATGTGACCTTTTCATCTGCTTGTTTTCAACCTCCTTGTATCTTTAAACCTCAAACAGCTCCTGTTGACAGCATGTAATATGAGCCCTGTGGCTCTGAACTGAGGTCCTCAAGCTTTCCAAGCAAGTGCATTACTCACCGAGCCATCTCCCCAGCCATGTTTTCATTTTTTAGCATAGGAATTCATTTTTTTAAAACCTGTAGATCTCTTTAAAGCAGAACAAAGTGTAAATTGGGCAGTATATACACGATGTGCATGAGTGTCCTTGAAGAGCATTGTTCTCCCTGAACCTGGAGTTACAAACAGTTGAAAACCACTGTGCGGATGACGGGAATTAAACACAGGTCCTCTCCAAGAGCCCCTAACTGCCAAGCCATCTCTCCAGCCCGTCAATCAACTGACCCGTGGCACTAGGAGTCTTATGCTCTACAGAAAACTGCTGGACTAACTGCAAACATTGCACTTTCATAAGATAACCTGGTCTTTTCATAATTTTGCTGCAAAAATTTCCCTAACAAACCACTTTTCACCAAACCTACCATTTTCCTCCGGTTCAATGAGCCCTTTTATAAAGCTGGTTGACCTAGAAGCGCAGATCTTCAGATTTTTTTTTAAGCTTTGTAGGGAGAGACCCTGGATACCTGTACTGCTGACCACACCTGTTTGGGCCTGGCCACAGGGTATGTAGGATAGAGAGGAGGCACTCCTCCTCTCTCGGGGTTTAGGCCAGGTCTTGGAGGCATCAGAGATTGAGCTTCTCGGAGGACCAATCTGGTTATCGGCTACACATGTGAATTGTTCTCATTGTTATCATTTATAATATACCATCAATAACCATATCTTATGTACAGTTGTGCTCCTTTTCAAAGCTTTCTGTTGACTATCCTGATTTCATACAATTACCATCTACTTCTTGTGTTTCTCACAAGACAGTGTTTCTCTGTGTAGCCCCAGCTGTCCTATAACTCACTCTGTAGACCAGTCTGGCTTCAAACTCAAGAGATCCACCTTCCCCTGCCCAGGATTAAAGTCTGGGATTAAAGACATATACCACCACTGCCCAGCATCATCTTCTTGACCATTAAAGTTTTATAATATATATTTTGGTGAAAATTATCAATACTGTTCACATTAATGCCTGTAATTCTACCATTTTATACAACAAAGCTTTTTCTTTTACTCTGCTATAGTAAACTGTCATCCCTGTATATTTTTGTGACACACTATTGCTGTTGTAATTAATAGCTCTGCACACCCAAGTTCTATATCAGAACTCCAACTTGCCCACAGTTATAAAAGACTTAATACAAAGATAGCTACTACTGTACCTTATACTTCCCCTTTACTATACTAGGTATCTGCAGTGCCACCTGTACAAAATACTCAAAACAATTTTACAATGCTTTGGCTGGTAGCAATACATGTCTAGAATTCAATTATTTGACAGTGATAAATGGGATGTTTGTGTGTAATATAGATCAGCAACACGGTAGTTCCCTACCTTGCACAATGCAAGGGGTCCCATAAAGATGAGTCAAGGAGCCAGAGATGGCCAAGCAGTTCAAAGCATTTACTGCTTTCATATCAGGAAACACACAATTTAGCAATTTTTATTTTTGTGTTTT